AAGCCGTATTGCGTAATGATTTGGTTCAAGAATACTTTGAGGGAAGAGACAGGAGCTGTTTGGACGAAGGTAGGAGATTGAAATCTTTTCGAAGCTTATTGTACAGCACCTCAAACAACAAGAGCGGCGACATTTACAGAGAACTTAGATTTCTTAGGAGGGATTTCATTTACTCAAGTAGCTGGTTCACTGATTCTTGATTCTGGCATCTGGAAGAATATATAGTACATGTTACCTCCTTGTGGATTGACTTAGACAGTTTTTACACTGATTCATTCAAGTGTGACTGTTAACAGCTTTAGATCTTTCGGTAAACAATGGGATGAAGTTGAGACATAAGTATTCGGATGTTTCACTAGCAAACAACCGAAACAAAACCAAAGCACGTCACAGATGTGCGCTGAAAATTATCAGAGTTGTTAGCAGTCAAAATGGTACATACTTTTAAGTGAGTGATATCAAAGTAAAATGCAATATTTAATCGTTTCGAGGGGGAGGTGGACAGAAATCCTTGAGGGCCGGGGTAGGGGAGGATTTGGTCGTATTTCTGAGCTATTGCTAAGATTTTGATGATATAACGCGATGCAAAACCATAGTAAACCAAAAAAGGGACTAAACCACGAATGCAACACGAATGAAAGGGTAGCGAAAAAAAAAGAGTTAATAAACGTGCGTCTCAAAACTTTGCACATTTCCGGGCCGTTCCTTACAAAATAACAACGTAAAATCACTTAATTTTCCAGGCTGGTCGTTTGCAATCCGTTGAATCTCCTCCACCTTCAACTACCCTTGCGCCTTCTCTATTTATCATGGCCTTTCTTTCTAAGGAACTAACATTTTGTTTGGGCTCACTCGGATTTAAGGTAGTTTTGTAACAATAGCCACTCACCCGGCTGTCTCGTTTGTTGTCTCAATACTTTACAGAGATCGACCTTGAAGGACTCAAGCCCGGGGTAGTTTCCAGCAGTGACTTACTCTCCATCGCCAAAGACTTAGGATTAAAGTGGGTCTGGATTGGTCGACTTCTCGGGTTGGAAGACTCCTTGTTAGATGGCATCAGAGAAGATCACATACAAGTCTCTGATTGTCAATACAAAATGCTCGAGTTATGGAGGAGGGAAAAGACTACTGGGGCAACCTACCAGTGCCTTGCAAGGGCGTTGCTGCACAGAACAGTTTGCATGCGAGATGTTGCTGAGAAATTCTGTGTGGAGAATTAAGAAAAACAGATGGGTATGTTTCAGTCGTTGAATAATGAGATGAACTTAACTCTCGTATAAATTATTAAAAAACAAGAAAAAAAATTATAGAACTGCATGTTTCATATCTATAGGGAGAGAAGAAAAAGAAGAACCTTTGCTGTGATAATCGAACCTAAAATTTGTACTATTCTTTCCTCGTAAGCCTCTTAAAAAAGTCGCTGGACTGAGTTATGTGAGAGATAGAGACTACATGTTTATATGTATATATGTAAATATGTTTTGACTCCCATTTCGCCGCGAGAATTTGCCCATAAGTTCTGATTCTGAAAACAAGATACATGATAGATTTGTGGTGAAAGAATTGGAAGAGAAAAATAGTTTCTCATGAAACAACATCAGGCATGATTCACAATTTTCTAAACAAAAAAGCCAGAAATTGAGACAAAAAACCTGAGACACTAATAGAGGATTAATCAATTAATCTTATTTTACGTTTGACGCATGACCAGGTTCAACGCGAAGAAACTGATGGATGAATGGATCAAGTCACAAGATTGCCAATAGGCAGCCTGCAATATTTCGATCTACCGCTTTCTTTTGTGGCATGGGGATACAGAAAATCCTAGAAAGAAAAGAACAATTCTCAAAAATATGTCCCAGGGATAGCGAGCAAGCCAGAAATATATTTAATCATTGATTTTCTTGACGATGAAAAAAATGTTTGAGCAGTAGATTTCACTAAAAAGAGTTTAGAAAACGAAGCGTTGTTAATAGATAATCGATATATCCACCTGTGTTCCTTTTTTTCGAAAGACTAATGTATGTCACAATCATGAATACTAATTTATAATTGTATTCGAGTAAAGGAATTTTTGTTACTCTGTACGCCGTGAATTTGAAGAATAGAAGCTTGTACGTTGCTTGAGTTTGGTCAGCTTGTTATTACGGTGTTCTAATAACTGATCAAGCAGCCTACGCGAATGTACTTATAAAATGCTCGAGTTGTCGTGCAAGAAAGGGGAATGCTAACGCAACATACAAGAGCCTTGCACAGACGTTATTAAACAGAGCAATTTGCATGCGAGAAGTTGCTGAGAAATTCTGCGTGGACCACTGAGGAAAAGAGATCGGTATATTCCAGTTGTTGAATGAAATAATGACCCTCAGTCTCAGAGAATATCAGAAAACACTCAAGACAAAGGATTGCAAGAGCCGGTTCAGTTGCGCATATCTACAAGGCGCTAAGGAAAAGTAGAGCGTTTGCCTTTATAACCAGCGTTAACATCTGTGATGTTTTTTCTTGAAATTTTACGCCAGCCACGTTGAGAAAACGCTAGTTGGAGAAAAAAAATCTGATCCTTGATCAGTTAAGTTAGTGATTGCAAACGCATTTAACGAAGTGGTGATATAGATCGTTTTTGCGATGAATCATTGGCCAGAGACTATTAACCGGCCAACGTTGTCTTGCAAGAGATTATAATCTCTTGTGTTTTGATATTGCAAATCAATTGAGTGACTGCAGCCTTTCGAATAAAGTTACGATAAAGATTAATTTTGTATGGCTATTAGCCAGAGTTTATGAACTGAACAATATTGTTCAGAAAACCCAAATACTTGGCAAACAGGCGTCTTTTGGCTTCTAAATCCGGTTTGCAAGACGTTGATACTAGCAGGTTTTGACTCACATTTCGCCGCTAGAATTTACATATAAATTTAAATTCTGAAAACAAGATACATAATAAGTTTGTGGTGACTCCCAAATGTATTCCAGTCGTATTTAGGCGTTGCACATATATGTACCGTACTGATTCGATTTAGCGCCTGGGACGTTTATTTCACTACTTTCACCTCAAGGGAGTGTGCTTATTCGAAACAAGGCGTTTATGAGGAGCCGGGCGTTAATTTTTTTTTTTATTAGAAACAGCAGAATGTGAAACAAACTTTTGATGTTTATTTGAAAGGATAAAAAAGACTGGGAAACAGACTTTTTTTCCCTGGATACTTCCTTCCTAGAATGACTATCCAAGCGATCGTCACAAAATTTTAAGACAGGATCTTCCGTTTGAAGGAACTGCGCTTTCACAGCAACATAAAAATCGAGAGAGACAAAGATCTCCTCTTTTTTCGTGAGGCTTTAAGTGAGCAATTAAAGGAAGATGGACCACGGTTAATCTCAATGTTCACGTACTCTAACAGTCCTATTACTGAAACAGAATAGGGACGTTTATTGGAAAAGAGGTCCGTATTGGAATGAGGTGCTCATTCATTAGGGGCGCTTATTAACAAAAACCAAATTCGAGGGGGGAGTTTATTGGAGAGGGGCGCTTTATGAAAGGAGGGCGCTAAATTGAAGAGTTACGTTATGTTTGTTTGTTTCGTCGTCACCGTTGTTGATTTAATTGTTGCACGTTTATTTTTTGTTTGTTTTTTCAATTGACTAACAATATATGCTTAGACTAATTTCCAGCGCGAACCTTACGTCATGTACAAGAACGGTTCATTCGTTCGATTGATACTGGCATGCATGACCATCACTCCGAAGTAATGAGGATCGAATGCAATCATTGGTACAAGTAAGGTAACATTATGAAAAGTTCTTTACAAAGCAATTTAACGATTATAGAAAAATAACTACAGCCCTTGTCTCTTGCACAAAGCTTACAGCTAAAAGTAAGGCAGAACGGTTCGAAGAAGCATTAACTTTCTTGTTGGTGGCTGTGGAGCTTCTTTTTCACATTAAAGCCACCGTTTCTTCTCCGTTTTCAGGATCAACCCCGTTTCTGTTTCCATCTGCTCCTTTCATAGGCTCACTCTGATCGGAATACAAACTCTCCATGGTTGGTTGATTGAGAGTTTCCGGTAAAGTCATACATCCAATAGCAGCTGCGATCGCCAGACCAGCCATTATCCCATAGGGAAGGAAACGATGAACGATCAACTATTGAAGATAGATCAGGGTTTATATTTAATTAAGGTTGTTACAGTCGAACCTTTCCAGGGAAAGGAGCTTTTAGTAATAAGTGACCGTCCAGGGGAAGGTGAGGATAATTACAAATATTTTATTTAAGTGGTTTGTAACATTTAGGTGGTTAGAACAATTCTTGACAAAACATGTGCTTAAATTTACTTAGATTTAATGCTGTAAATTACGGCAAACATTCTGTCGTTAATACGTGCCCGCACTTTAAACGAGGAGGTCAAGAAATCACATGGTCCTCAGTCTTTCGAGTTTCCTATCAGAAAATTTATTTCAGGTGTATAAATGATAACTGTGACTCTTGTGAAATATCCCGCCCATGAGTGCTGCGTAACTGTTGCGTCGTGAGATCTGAGAATAGTGCATTTTGGTGTCTGCTCTCATTTTCAATTTGGCTGTGCATGTCTGTATGTCTTTCTGTATGCCTTTCTCTCTCAATGTCTGTCTTAGCTCGTTATCTATTCATTCATTTATTCATTTCTTTGTTGTTGTTGATATTGTTGTCGTTGAATACCGTCTTAGACCTGAAGGAAACAACAAGTTTGTCTGTACACGCGTCATTTGCCACTCTGTCAGTCCGTTGGTCCGTCTGTCTGAACGATCGTAGTTTGTCAATCTGTCTGTTTACAATTTCTTGCCACTACGTCTGAGCGTCTGTCTCCTTGTGTGTTTATTTCATTTGCAAAATTTGCTTGTTCCAAGCTTGGGGTGATCA